TTAAAAATTTCCTGCCATTTTGTTTACAATTTTAGTTGTTTCCCTTTGAGAAATGCGGGTTAATTTACCCTTTTTGGGTTTACCAAAACACATAAACGATTTCCAATGCTGCCGCTAAGCCCTCTTATCGATTAATTATCGAAGTCATTGGCATTTACTTTTACAGGCATAGGGCGAGCATTTTCAATTTCCCGGAACGACAGTACAACAATTGCAATGCCTATGAAAATGGCATGAAAAGGACGACAATCCTTTGTCCCGTTGCTCTCCTACCCTTACCTATATTCATGGCGTTCTATTTTTTCGCTACACTGGGGCAAATTTCGGATTACTTTATTGAGAACAATTTTAATTTTAACAAATTTATAAATTTCAATAAATCATAAAAATCTATAGTAAAAATTTTAAATAATAATTTAAATTATAATCTTTATTATTCGTATTTTTTCCGGTGTAGCCAAAGCCATAGCTGCCTATGGGGGCCTCAAAAACTGAAACTGAAACTGGGCCTGCAACTGGAATATCTGCCGGATGCTTCATTGTTGCCAGGAAGTGCCACCATCCTGACAGATGCCGCATATTTGCAACTCTGTGGGTGTGGGTGTGTGTGGGTGTGTGTGTTGTGTGTACGCATTTCAACTGCCTGCATGTGTGTTCATATTAATCGACAATGGGAACAAACTTTTGTCAGCGTTTCACGTTTGCGAATGCGATTTCAAAAGCAGGGTTTTTTGACTTTGCCATCAAGTTGGACTTTAATTAAAACATAAATAAATATATGTTTTCGATATGTTTGATGTCCATATATCGAAAGGAAAAGAGCGATATGATTATCGACAGACATTATGTTTAAAAATTTATCGAAAATATTCTAAAATTTTAAACGGAAATTTAAAATATAGAATATGTTCTTGAAAATATTGAACCTATTGAAGAATATCAGAAAAATATTCTTAAATTTTTATGTTTTTTAACTTTGTATAGTCAAAATATCAATTTTTCGCACAATTACAATAAAACAGCTAAGTGAAAATATCGAAAATATCTAAAATATCGAAAATGTATTATCGAATGTAGAAACATCCACAAATTTCCTTCGATTATTAATTCTTTTTTAATTAGAGAATGTTATCGAAGTGCCTACTCAACCTCTTTCGCAAATTAATAAATTTTAAATTGATAACAAAAATAATCGAAGTGGGTTAATTATCGACTAAACAAAATTATTGATAGAATGGGTTAAGGTACTTGCAATTGAATAAAATAGTATTGTTATTACCCATAGCAGATTATCCACCAATTCATTTTATTATTTTAGTTATTCATAAATCTATCGTTATTTTTTTTTTTAATATATCGAAAACTATCGAGAGTATTCCCTGCTTCGATCTCTTCAGTTATGCTTTCCTTTGTAGCTTTGTGGGATTTTGCGTTTTGCAACGAAAATTGAAATGGATGACAAGGCGGGACGGTCATTTGCCTCTAAGCGCCGCTTTCAACGCGTTAACGCGCTTCGCAAACACGCAGAAAGAGATGGCTTTAGGAAGAAAAAGAGAGAGAGAGAGAGAGAAAGCAAGAGGAACTCTGACAAACAGAGTGAAGCTTACGGCAGATGGCATGGCACTCTAATGTGGCCACTTTTGGGCGGTGTTTGCTCTTTGACGGCCATCATACCAATGTGCAATGTGCAATCATGACCAGCGGGCCACGCAGATTTATGGCCACAACCCGGCGGAGTTAGGTCTCCTTTTTGGGTAGTGGGAAGTCCAGCCGGAAATTGCCCAAACAAAAATGGGATAACCAAGTGAGCAGCAAATGACATTGGATGCCACTTAATGCCACAAAGTAGCCTCTCAAAAAAGGGGTTTTCGAAATGAACTTGCCATCATTCTGGGCTGAAAATACTATTTACTTGCCAAAATGTACAAATTAAGTTGCCTCAAACCCCGTTTTAAAGTGATTTGTGTTGTTTGTTCTTTCACATGATTTAATACCATTTTGGTTCTACAAAATCAAAGTGGTTTTTGGTCAAATTTAATTAAATTACAATTCCGGTTTATGGCAGAACATTAAATATACATATATATTTTGGCAATTTTCTTTTCGGTTTGCGGTACAAAATCGAAATTTGACCAAATTAAAACGATTTGATTTAATTAAGGTCTAAATGGGAGAGCAAATATATACACAAAAATATACAAGTTGCTGAATTTTTTGACAACTTTTGGGTATTAAATAGTTTATATTGTTCTTTTCATTTTCTTGTATGGATTTACAATATATTTGTTAAGTCAAAAATTTGGCAACTGTGTGGCTTGAACCTTCTTGTTGGCCTTTCACTCTGCTCCATTTGTTTACTTCGGCTTTCCGTTTTTTTGGCCCTTGGTTTTGAACGGCTTTGGTAATAAACTTGAATTTTATTGTCCAACAAGAATGTTGCAATATGCTTGGCCATAATTTCAACGTCCTGCACATTGTTGCCAAAGGACCTTCTAGGTCCTAGGACCTTCTCTCTCTCTCTCTCTGTGTTTTTCTTTCTTGTCCAGCCAAAAAATGTTGTGGTCTGAGCTTAACGTCTCTTCTGATTGCTCTTGTCCTTGTTCCTGGCATTTCCTCGTTTTCCCAGGGTTTTCCTTTGGCACTCAACTTTTACAGATATCAAAAACCAAAAGAAACTAAGACAATTTTTGCTTGACTGGAAAATTTGCATTTTATGACAACACAAAGTTAACATTTTAATACACTTTAATCGTTGGATTTTCCAAAGAGGGAAATAGGGAAAGGAAAGTCCTTTAGGATAGGATATTTTTTTAGTTTTAAAAATATGAAAAATAATATTTGTACTTTTTTTTCATACTTTTAAAACTAAAAATATAGTTTATTCTTTAGGAATTTTCTTTCCTAATTAAATTTAGGGAAATTTTTTACTTTGTTTCCTGATAATAAAAATAATATACACAAATCTAGTCATCTATTTTCTTTCTTACTTCATAATTATTATAATTTATTTAAAGAAAACTTTTAATATAATTTATTTAAACACCAAATCATTAAGAAATCTTCTTTAAAAAATCAGAAAATCAAATATTCCCCTCGAAAAGCAACTGTTGTTGTTGATTTTCTTTTGCCAAATGAAACGAAAGAGAAAAAGAAAGGGGGGAGAAGAGTCAAAAATTTATAAATAATATTGCATATTAAAAGGCGTTCGCTTTGGCATTTTTAATGGCCGGAAAGGAAAGGAACGAAAGGAAGGAAGCCAGTTGTGTCCAGGCCATTTCAAGTTTAGTGCAACTAATTTAAAATTTATGATGCACTTGAATTGCAGCTGGCAAAAAGTTCAACCGGGGAAAGCAGAAAAAGTGTGGAAAAGCGGGGAAAAGTCACAAAAATGGTGGAAAGAGGGGCGGAGGGCCAAAACTCATACGAAACGGCAGCGACAAAGGCGAAATGCCAAATGGCAAATGCATAAAACAGAAATAAAATATTCATTGCATACTTTGAGCCATCGAGTTATGCATTTCTTCTTTTTTAGCAATTTTTTGTTGTTGTTTTTCCTTCTATTTTCAACTTTTTTTTATTGTTTGTTGACCTTTTACTGCCTTTTTGTGACTGGCGCTCGAAAATTGGCAATTAAATATTGAAAGCTTGGCTAGGCATGCCAATAATTTTAATAACAATAATATTCGCAGAAATTTTAGACTTTGTTGTGTCTTTTTTATATATTATTTTAGTTGTTTTGGGTGAAAAACAATTAAAATAAAGTCAAATATATCAGATTTTAGGCAGGAAAAAGAGAGTTTATTTTAAAAAATGTGTTTAAGTTTTAAATTTGAGTTATTTTTAATTTGAAAATATATAAAAATCATAAATTCTTAAAAAAAAATAGCTTCCTTTTAATTTAAAAAATAATAATTTAAAATTGTTTAACCTCTTTTAAAATTAAAAATAGATTTTTTTTTAGAAACTGCTTACTAAATTTAAAATTGCTTTATTTTTAATTTGAACATATATAAAAATAATAAACTTGAATTATAAAAAAAAAATGCAGCTTCCTTTCTTGTGTAAAAATCTATAAATTACAACCTGGTAATTTTTTTTATTTATAAAAGTGTTTTTATAAATATAAATTAAATTTATTTTGAACTTGAAAGTATACAAAAATAATATTTTTATATTAATAAAAAATGTAGCTTCCTTTTTTCTTAAATATTACATTTATTTATATTTATTTATAAGAAAAATAATAATTAAAAAATCCTTAACCCCTTGCAGTTATCAAAACCTCTTTTGAAATTAACACACACACTCCCTTCCCCCCTTTGCACTTTAACCCCTCTATCATCCACGTGAGAGATCGCTTACAGCCCAGCTGCCTTCTCCCTCATTATGCATTATTCATGGACCGAAAAATCATTGAAGCACAATTAATTTATGTCAGGCTCAACATGTTGTACTATATGTGCAGATGAAAGCGAAACACCACCACTGGGGAAACATTTTCAGGCGGGGGTTAGTTTCCACATTTGACTAATACATAATTCATATAGTTTTTGCATCAATAGAGCCAGAGCCTCTTGGCCAAATGCCTAATGACTTAATTAGGCTAATAATGGGCAAGGAGATGAAGGTTACCCTGCTTTCCAGCCAGCCACATGTGGCTGCACTATCTCTGGAGCTCCTGTCCACTCGAGCTTCTCTCTGTGTGTGTGTGTGTGTGAATGATAATTGCGTGGGATGTCGTAAAAATGTTTCAACCGTGGCTCTCTCATAAATCATAATTAAGCACAAGATGTGGCCGACTCTCCTGTCTCTCTCTCACTCTCTAGAGTAATTAATGTTTTGTGTGGCGTTGCTTTTTACTTATTAACTCATTTGGGCTAATCATCAGGCAACCCCCAGCGACGACCGACCAAGGCTCAACTTAGGGTTGCTTGTCAGTACACTTTCCTTTGGTTTTCCCTTGCTTTTACTTTACTTTTCCCCCTCTTAGGTGTACTCACCTTTTCACGCAGCATATCACGTATACGACCCGCCTGGTTCTTGGACCGATGCAGCTCCAATTGCAACTCCAGGCAACGCTCCTGCCAATTAATCTGCAGTAAATAATGCAAGAAAACGTTTAGTTAAATATATTTTCTTTTAGGTAATCATTAGTTAAACCCACCTCAGGCAATGCCTGTCCATAGTTATTAACCTGATGTACATCTAGGTGTTCGGTGAGTGTGGAAAAATGCGGCCAGGGCGCATCTGGCGCATCCAAGGCTGCCAGCATGGGATTTACACTAGCCTGCATTTGATTTTGAGCCTGATCCCTGGCTGGAGGAGGATCCCTGCTGCTCTCAACGACTTTCACCTGACCCGGCTTGGCTGGTATGGGCGGCGGTCGTGGCACACGTCGAGGCATCAGCCTTGGGCTGTTCGGTGTGGAGGCAGCAGCTCCTGCCGTGCCAGCAGCTCTCACCTGACCCAAGGGCATCTGTCCACTAAAGGAGGTGGCTCGCTTGGCCAGCAGTGGGGAGCCTTGCAGCGACTGTGATCCAGAGAGGCAGCCACTCCGTTGTGTGGGCAACGATGGCGGCTGGCTGTGCTGCTGCAGGTGATGCAGCTGATGATGATGCTGCTGCTGCTGCTGCTGGTGATGATGGTACAGGTGTGAGGGAAACGTGTGTAGGTAGCCACTGCCAACGCCACTATCCTGTGGCCGCAGAAAATAATTGTTGGCATGACTATAATATTGCAAGGTATTTAGCGGGCTGGCCACGCCCAGAGAAGGCGTGGCCCGCCCTGAAGTTGAGGCTGAGGCACTGGCCGAGGGTGAAGGTGATGAGGAGGCGGATCTGCGGCGTTGATCCGCCGGCAACTGAACAGGATGAAGCTGATGCTGTTGCTGCTGGTGAGGATGCGGATGGGGATGCAGTTGCTGCTGCTGCTGCTGCTGCTGGAGGTTGGTGAGCGTATCGAAGATTTGCGATAGGCGACCCAAAGGCACTTCGTCAGACATTGACGCGGCGGCAGCTGCAAGAAAGTCAAGAATAAAAAATAAATTAATTACTTTTAGGGTAATTATTTAAAAGTATATATTTAGTATATACGTTGTAAATATTTAGCACATATTAAGAACATATTTAGCATATATTTAGTACATAATTAGGCTAAACCTAAAGCCGAAAACCGTAACTTCATGCCAGGGATGTTAGAACCAGTTGCGAATTATATGTAAGATTTTTCGTAGTATCAAAACAATTGCATTTTGCCTTTATTTTAGTTATATTTCATATTTATGGTAAATAAATCAGCCTCTAGTAGGCCTTTCATTGATTTCCTGAACGATTATAAATCAAATTTTGACTTGTAGTCTTGGTAACACAGCCTTTACAAGCAAAAACCCCTCTGGAAACCTACCCACAACCATGCCGAAGTTTATTCCAAACCAGATACTCATCTTCCTGATTGGTCTATCAGCTGGCCAGCGCTTGCCTCCCGGTGTCAATCCAAAACGCTATCAACCACCAGAACAGCATGTCCACCCTCAGCAATATTCCTACAAACAAGAGTCCCTGGCTCAGTATCTGCAAGGTTCAGAGCATCAGATGCCACATCACCATCACCATCAGGCACAGGAGGACCTAAGCCAAAAGGTCATAACCACTGGAAACATTGACCTAGAGCGCAGTCATATCCAAGAACACATGCCAGTGCCTATCGATACAAGTCAAATGGCCGATGCCGAGCTACAGTTTTATTATTTCAAGATGCACGATTCCGATGGCAACAACAAGCTGGATGGTTGTGAACTGTACAAGGCACTGGTCCATTTGCATGGCGAAGACGACAAGATTCAAGTCAGTTTGGATGCAAAGACCCTAAGCGACGAAGAGCTGGCAGTACTCATTGATCCCATTCTAGAGATGGATGATACCTCGCGCGATGGTTTTATAGACTATCCGGAGTTTATCAAGGCAAGGATCAAGAAGCAAGTGTAAGAGATGGAGGAATAATACGATTTATAAGTAGGAAATCATCTTCATACACAAAAAATAAGATATGTAGAAAGTAAATTCTAGCTTGAGGAATGAATAAAGACCTTGGAAAAGCATTTAAGAATAATGTATGTGATGGAAGTTTATTTTCTTTTCAATCTCTAACTTGTTTTGTTGATAATATACCCCGAATTTTCAAATAATACTTTAGACAATCCATCAGTCCGCCAATATAGGAAATCTAACCATTGGTTTGTGCATTACCAGATCCCTGTCAACATTTACACCTCCAACTACGTGCTCTTAGGTGATGAGAAATCAAGGTGAGAAAGCGCTGGAGAGGAGAACACGGTGACAATGCCGCCAGACAAGAACTGGACATGGTATACACTGGGTACAAGCTAGACACTGGACAGTAGAGAGAGCCTTGGCCAACAGGTGCGCGAATCTGGGGCATCAATTGCCACTACGTGTGCGCAATGCTTAATCAACAGTACACAGAGAAAACCAGACATAGTGGCTGGAAAAAAGCTAAAAGAGACTGAGATGGCCAGCAAAAAGGGCTCCTTGTAGCAGTTGTCAAATTGAATATGCCACTAAATTATAGACAGCAGACTTGACATTCCGGAGTCTGGCACAGGAATGCGCTGGACTCTTTCATGTCCTCTTTTTTTTTTTGCGGTCTGTGGAAACTCCAAGCCACACACTCCACCACTTTTCACTTTTCCCCTGGCCTGTAGATGTGAATTTTTGTGGCTAAAAGCCTTCAGCTTCTAGACTCCATTACCATCTCTAGGAGTTGTGGCTGTGGTCGAAAGAGCAGAGCAGACCAGACCAGACCAGACCCATTCATAAGAATTATATTCCAATTTCGTGCTGCACTTCCTCTGCTCTATGCATGCACACTCCTTGTGTGTGTGTGTGTGTGTGTGTGTGTGTGTGCGTGTCTACTGCCCAGTCACTTCATTTTGCAAATTTTGATTTAATTCGAGTTGATTGAAATTCAAATTCAGTTTTTGATTTGACAAAATGTCCACCTTGTGTCTTGCTTCTCGATTTTAAGTGCACTTTACGGCAAATTGTTTCTAATTTGCTGGGGCTTGTCTGAAAATTGGCAACAAAGCTCGAGACTAGTCGAGGGTCCTTCAGAAGCAGGAGTAGGATGTCCACAATCCACTTTTGATTAGCAGCTGAAGTTCGACAACGATGCAGTTGAATGGGAAATGGGAGACAATGGACCATTATTCGGTTGCATGTGCATCCAAGGATATGGGTAGTAGCAAAGGAACTTCAAGTGGGCTGGTAGCTAACAAGCTTCGGAAATCAGTATGCAATTCAATGACCATGTCAAGTGGGTGTCCCTGGGATCTGGTCACATTGTTGAGCAAGAAGTTTGGCAACAATGTGAAGCCTCTGATAGGGTTTTAGTTTTTGAAGTATTTTAAAGGTTTCAATTTAACAAAAGCTGAACTGTAAGTTTTCTTGAACAAATATTTAAATTCTAAATTAATTATAAATTAAGTCTGGCCACACTTTCACTGCGCGTAACTGTACTTGCAGAGTAACTGTACCCGACGAGCTCAACGAACTCATTAGGCGGCATTAGTTGGCTCAGGTTGGCAGGCCTGAAACTCATAAGGGTAAGCGGCTTAACAGAGCTTGTATCGCATATGCATATGCTTGCCGCTCGGTTTATGGTAACTGGTAAGCCCTGGTAGTGCATATCTTTGTTTACCACTCGGCTTAAAACCACACACACATATGTACATATATATGAACCGGAAATGGGGATTGGGGGATGCGGATTTTGAGAATGCAACTGAGATACAGTTCGGGCCAAGTTTCCTTGGCTAAGTGCAAACCAGAAGCAGAACCATTGTCTTGTGTTTGCTCTTTGCTTAGCTCCCTAATGGAGGAATAGAGGAAACCGAATATAAGAATGGCGACATGCAATGGAAAACTCACTCAAATAGTTGGCAAAACTTGTTCACGGCTCCAATGAAGTGCAGAGAGAGAGAGAGGGAGGAGGAGGTTGGGTCGGTGTGGGGCAACAAAAGACAGAAAGACACACACACGGAACGAAGCGAAACAAATTTCTAAAAACCCCAGACGACAGTTAAGCTCCCTTCCTTGGAAGTTTTTCCCTTTACCCTGCAACCCGGTCCAGCATTTCCGGTTCCTGCAGTTTTCTAGTTTTCTAGCTTTCCAGTTTTGGATTTATTTTTATTATTTTTTTTTCTGTTTTTTTTTTTTGCTACTCGAAGTGAAGCCTTGGCAAATATTAGACAATGTATGTATTTATGCATTATCAAAGTAAAAGAGAGAGAAACAGAGAGAGAGAGTTGTAATGGAAAACCCTTAACAGACACATGTTGCCACAAGGATTATTCAAAGGATACTTAGTTCCTTAAAGTGCATCATGTGGAAAATTGTATGGTTATTTTCTTAAGATTTCTGGTTAAATTAGGTTTCAACTTCAAAGACTTTAATGTTAGTCTCTTAAATCGTTAAATTTAAACAATGTGTGAAATATATATATAAAATACATTTTACAACTTTTAAAGTTGTAAAATTAATACAACATAAAATATCAGACACAGTGAGAGTCCCCGTCGACACAAAATAATTTTCCAACATGACAACCATACACACTGGCACACCTCGCACACACACACACACTATACACTTTACACTTTACACTCTACACACCACTCACTATGTTATTCGCCTTTGTTGTGGCACTTGAAAAATTTAATAAACGCTGCTGCATCGCTCGCATGCCAATAATTTTACAACACTTGAGCGAGGGGGAAGCCCCCTCTTTTTGTGTGTAATGCGTCGTCAATTTGAAAAACATTGTCAATTCCTGGGTGGTAGGGGGTTCATCCTGAGTGTGTCTGTGTGTTTTTTTGGTGTGAGATAACTACTAAGCGTCATATTAACAACATTGTAACATGCACGAGGGGGCGAAAACGGCGGAGGGAGCTTTTAACCAGACATAGTAACACACCCACACCCACCCCGCCCGCGTTATCCTACCAATTTACTAGCACCAATTCTACTCCCTTGATGCTCCTTTGTTAGCGAGGAGGCACTCTCCTCCATTTCTCACTTGATTTTGTTTAAGGTTTCCTCTAACGCTTTTCATACCCTGTTTTTTTGAATATCTGCAATCATTTTTCTTGGATTTATTAATATTTTTATTACTTTATTATTATTATTTTTTTGTTTTTTTTTTTGTATATACATTTTTTTTATGTATATATTTTTATACATATTTTTTTATATATATTTTTATATATATATGTTTTTTTTATATTTATTTTATATTTATTTTATATTTATTTTTTTTTATATTTATTTTTTTTTTATATTTATTGTTTTTTATATATATTATTTTTTATTTTTTATTTAATGGTTGAATTAATAATATTATTATAATAATTCTTAAACCTGGTAAACCTGGGTATTTTGGTTTCGTCTTCTTGAGTCTCCTTCTTGCTTCTTTTATTTATATCACCCAAGCGTGTGTATTTTTCCCTTTGCTTTCTTTTCGTTCTTTCATTCAACTATTTTTCACTCAATTCCAACGAAAAATTTATAATAAATGCTCGCGCACATGTGATGTCGCGCATTTTAATTGGTCTCTGCCACAATAACTCCGAAAGGGAGTTCTACGCGGGGCTTTGGGAGGAGGCTTGGAGCCCAGACAAACCCTGAAACTGTAAGCCCCACACATGTGAGCATGTGTGTGTGTGTGGGCTATATATGGTGTGTGTGTGTGTGCCAGTAGGGGCTTTAACTCTTGGGTGCGTCTGTCGTCTTTTCTCCCTTTTGTCGTTCGTTGTCTGCGGTTTCTCCTTGTAAAACGGTTGTCATTCGTACCGCAGTTGTTGTTACTGTTCTTATTGTTGTTGTTTATGCTAGTTGGTAAGCACTTGTGCTCCAAGGGGGGTGTAGGGAGGGGTCAGGGGTACCCTCCTCCATGACCTACGTGACAAGCAAAGAGACTTACAACAAAGCACCGACTGGCGACTAACGACTTGGGGTCTAGATCAACTGGATATATCTCTGCACATATATTACGCGTCTCTCTATCTGTGCGAGGGTGTACGCACACAGCTGTGGTCAAAAGAATAGGACTACCTCGGATATTGTACATAAATTATGTAAATAAGTTAAGTTCATTAATTGAATAAATCGAAAAGTAATAAGTTCATGAACATATTTTCTGGGGACTTTAAAAATATTTAATACAAATCATTTATGAAGCTAAATGTATGCTTAATTAAGGTTTTATTGATTTTAATTCTGAAAAGCAATTAAAAATAACTGCAATCCCGCGAAATAATTATGATTAGTGTCTTGAAGATTATTTATTAAATATAATTTTTAGAATTTAAAATTATTATTTCATTATTAAGTATTTTAAACATAAATTTCGTCATCCAACAGCCGTTAAAAAATAATTTAAATCAAAATACATTTTTTTTAAATTGAAAAAATACAAAACCCTTTATCCTGTACTATTATTTTACCCTTAGCTGTATGCATATGGCATGTCCTTACAAGTGGCATGGCCGTCTTTATGGTTTTTAATAGCTGCCCGCATAATGCATGCCAAATGCCAAGCAGAATGCATTTCTTGGATACATTACAATGGGGGAATACATATTGGTAATAATGATCAGTCAGAACAGGAAATAAACTTCGAATTACACTTTAAGGTGGGATCGTGCTAGGGAAATTAAATCTAAGAAACCATAAATCTAGACAATAAAATCTTTTAGAGCAGTTTTTTATACTTTTTTCTATTTTAAAATTGTATTTTTTATTGATTTCCGTTACTTTAAAAACAAGAAATAATGAAAAAAGATATATAAATAATATATTTAAGCCAGAAATTAACTAAACCTTAACTATAACTCCCTGCTTGACCAAGTACACTGTCCCAGCATCTATAAAAAAAACATCTAGTAATATAACCTTATCAAAACGGTGAACAAAAACACAAAAAACCATTCAAAAAAAACCAAACCCAAAAAAAGAAGAAAAATAAACTGGTTAGCTGCCACCCGCTTTGAAAACTTCCAGCAAACAGCTAAAACAACAACATGTTGCTTCTAATGAG